AGGAGTAATCGTTTAAGATCCTAACCGGCTGTGGCTATGCACGCGAAACGCCCAGGCAGACTTAGCATTAGTCATGACTCATTTTTAATGATGAGCTAACCCCCTTTTTTTATTTTAATAATAATATTCAAGGTTATGTGTATATGACGAAGACAAAACTCCTGGTAAGAGACAAACTTAAAATCGAAAAAAAGACGAAAATGTGAAACTCGCGAAGCCCTAGTAGAAGCTCTCACTAAAAGGCGAATACTGTATAACCTGCCAAAAGTCAAAATATTTTGGTAGACAAAAAGATATAAACAAAGCTAAGCCATAGTATATTGTATACTTCGTGAAAATTATTAATAAAAGATAAAATATGCCTTTTTATTTTTTTTTTAAAAAAAAATTTAAGACTTTTAAATTATGCTGGAGTTGTAATTACAACAAAAACTTTATAAATTTTAATAATTAATCATTCATATTATTTATTTTTTTTAATTTTTTCGAATACAATATTAGGCTCAACCCCATTTTTTTGTTTCTCATCAAAGTGCTGCATATCTAAGAAAACGGAATAATGTATTTCCCCAGATTCTACGATTAAACATGCAAATGAGCATCAATTTTTGAAGTAATACAAGATTATCGATATAATTTTTTCATGATTGAAAACATCAATTGAAATATAGACAGTACTTGTCAATGCAACCGGTGTCTTTCGTGATGAGATATTAACACTAATAGTATGAGATGTATCATTTATGTCGATTCACTGAAAAACGATTAACGTATGAACATGTCCATTTTATTTACATTATTGTTCATGTAAAATTTTTGCTTTAAAAAAAATTCACATTCTAATATAATAATATAATATACAATAAACAATAACGTCAATATAGATCATACGAAAATAACAGTAAAATTTTTTTTTCATCGTATGACCCAACATTACGATGTCGATTACAGTAATTTGTGTTCCATGTAAAATAAATTAAGGCCATACAAGCTTGATAAATCGATTTTTATGTAATCAGTGCACCTTGCATAAAGAGATATTAAAACTAATAGTATATGACGTACTTTCCATTCATTGTAAAGCTAATTACATATAAAAATAATCATTTGAGGGAGGGCGATTTTACTATTTACAAAAAATTGGCTGATAAATGACATTCCCTTATTGTTATAATTAACATGTTACTTTCGTTCTAAATTCTAACTATCATGCTACTTTCATTCTAACTAATAATTTTTGTGTTGCTTTTGTTTTAACTATCGTGTTACTTTTCATTCTAACTATTATTATTCTATTGTCATATCTAAAGTTACTATCTATCTGAAGTTGCAACTTTAGATATATAAAGTTGCACCTAACCGGAATTATATATATGAAGATCTAATTTCAGGGGCTTAATTTTAGTCAGATCAACTTTATATATCTAAAGTTGCAACTTCAGATAACTTCAGATAGTAACTTTAGATACGACACATACACAACCAAGCTTTTTAAATGTCATATCGATATTGCTGTATTGGTCCAGTGATCATTATGTATTTAGAAATGATTAACAAAATTCTTTTGCTCAAGTTTTGTCGATCAGTGATTATCAATTAAAAAATCTGACGATTATTAAATATATCCAGTAAAGGGACATGTCGATCACTGATTTTTGTACGTACGTATCTAAAATTCTTATTTTCACTATCATATCTTGGTTTTTTGTATGCATGCATTCAGTTATTTTGATTTTTTATCTTCCTGTTAAAATTTTAATGCATATATAAAGATGCACGTGAATAAAACTCTAAATAGAATAGTAGGCAGAAGTTGAAAGTTTCAGGTGCTGCAGATGAGCTGCATACAAATCATGGAAAGGTTCACAAAACTGCGAGACATGGAGTGCTTAGAAAAACAAATAATATCGATATTAACCATTTAGCAATATCAGCAAAGTTCACACGGGGAAATGACAACTTACCATTGTTTTGTTTTGAGGAATTTAAAACCATCTGCAGAATTGCACGAAAATCAAACCTGATTTTATGGTTACGTGAACCATTTTAAATTAATTGTATCGGCATGTATTACAGTAAAGTTTTATGCTTCAAAAACTATTTATTATACATGATCGACAAAATCTAGACAAGCCGAATAATCTCCACGATTTAAGGTTATAAATTCCGTGATTATGCAACATTTACGGAAAAAACATGGAAAATAAAACACAGATTGACTTTTTTTATATTGAATGTAACTGCTATCAGTTTATTTAACACAACGACTTATCTCAAAATCTCTATCATTCACTTTCCAAAAACCGGATGAAAATCATTTATTATTATTAACAGAATAACACAGCTGCTATCAAGACTTATTCATCAATGTGCCTTATCTCAAGATCTTTATCCCCTTTCTCAGGCCAATCAGAGCGCCTGCTGAAAACTGTCCCTTTTATATTGATTAACATGATAGAAGTTTTAAAAATTATGTAATTTGATTGGTTAATTTTCGCAGGCAGATCAACAATATTAACAAATCATATGTATGTCTTCCTATAAATCTGATCAGACTCCTATGTACTATACCCGGGCCTACAACATGAGATGAAGCTTTGGTAAAATGTAAGAGACCTGGGGTATACAAATAGGAAAAAACAATAAAATAAAATTATCAGACCACACCCATACAAGAGACCATGGGTCTAATTATTGGTAAAATGAATTGGATCCGGGTCTCGTATACGGTAGTTTATGACACTTAAAAAAGAATATATTCTGTATGATAAATTGTCTATACAATCAAAGAATCAAAAATAGAAACAATTACACTGTTGGTCTTCAACTGCGCTACAGATAAAATTAAATTTTTTATTCAAAAATCATCAAATTTGGTTCTGGGATACAATGCATAAGAAATGTTATTGTCGGGAATGTCATTGTTCACAAATAAGGAAGTCATAATGTGAATTTTCTATAATAGCACTAATTCATTTTTCAGTTTTTGTTTAACTGTCGTTAATAGCTCCGTTAAAAGCATTTTCATTAATAAATAATCAATCAAATTAGATTATCATAAATACTTTTGCAAGATCAAAAAATAAACATTGCGGTAAATTTATGGAATACCCTCAAAATCTGATTTTGACTGAGATAATCAATTAGGATGCGTCATTATAATAAATTTCTATTTTAATAAAGTGGTGAAGATGATTAGACGCGTTATCAATCTAGATCAAAGATCCAAAATAATTTAGTGACCGAATTTTCATAAATTTTCCGTGTTAATGAGTAAATTATTAGTACTATCAAAACAATTTCGTTAGACTAATTTAATTCAATTAAAGCGCTTTCAATCTAAGTTACTATATTTTTGTATCATGTCTAATGATATAAAAAATAAGATTACCCTAAGACCGAGTGAACCTGCTATGCGAGGAAAGCCTGTTGAAGTTACCGTAAATTATGTGGAAATAGGAAAAAGTGTAAGCATATATCTATAAAAATTTTGGCTTGTCTTAGCATATATATTAAAGAATACTGATATTATTTCTCAATTTAGTTCAAATATCCTACTGTTCACTCTTATACTTTTGACGTCACGATACAACAAAGAAAAAAAGCGAAAGATTCTGAAGCAAAAAAAGTGAAAAGAGAAGATTCCGAAGCTGTTTTTTATCAATTACTTAAGAAAAAGGAATTCGGCCAAAATGTTTTTCCAGTATACGCTGGTAATATGATATACTCTTCTAACAAACTTTGCAATGGTAAAGATAATAAAAAATTTGATCAGGTAATTATTTGGAGTTATTGAATTTTTGTTTTATTTGCTTTTATGCTTTACCTAATAAATAAATTTATTCTAGATAAGAATTCCACCAAAAGATGGTGCTGGCCGAGCAAAATTTTTTTCTGCTGTACTTAAATATAGTAATGAATATGAAACGCAACAAATGGCTGAATATGTCAAAGTGAACACAAATCAACGTTGGGGAGACGAAATCCAGAATAATCTTCGTGTTCTTAATACTTTTATTAACTCGGATGTTAGAGCACAATATCTTACACATGGAAGAAAGCAAATTTTCCCTAAATCAAACTCTCAAGATCGTTTATTTTTGCCAGGTGGAATCGAGCTAGTGCTTGGTTTCTATCAAAGTATTCGTCCTGGATGGGTATTAATATATTTTCATTATTAGATTATCTTTTTTAAAAAGAAATTTATCTGATAAGAGTTTTTAAAATAGATAAACTACTCATTAATGTTGACACATGTGCTACAACATTTTATCCATCCGGTTTATTGATTGATTTGATCCCTAAAATTCTTGCAAGTAAAAAATCCAAAGATGATTTACGAAGAGGGCTTTCCAAAGATGAAATCGATTATCTTAAGTTTTGTATGAAAGGCGTTAATTTTACAACAACTTATCCTTCTGCTAACAATTCAAAACCAAAAAAGAAAGTTTCTTATATTACTGAAAAATCAGCGCAGCAAATTAAGTTCAATTATAATGGACGGAATATTAGTGTTAGTGAATATTTTCGAGTGTGCGGAACGCCATTAGAATTTTCTATGCTTCCTTGTGTTGCTGTTAAGTCAACTAATCGTGGACAAAGTGATGCACATTTTCCTTTAGAAGTCTGTTTTTTAATATCAGGTTAGTTAGTCCTATGTTTTGGGAATTTGATATTATGTATTATTGTATTATCTATTATCTAATGCGTTTGAAAAATTTTTTAGGAGAAAAATTTAAATTTGATAAGCTTAATAAGAAACAGAGAAAAGATATGGTCGATAAGACTGCTACTAAACCATCTGATCGGTTTCAAAAAATCACTACTGCCCTTACAAATGTATATAAACACTCGGAAAATAATGCGATGAAATCAATTGAAATGGTAGTTGGAAAAGAGTTTATAAAAACTACATGTAATATAATTTTACGTAGATTATGTCATATAATGTTTCACAGTTACTTATTTTAATTAATTTTTTTTAGCAAGAGTTCTTGAACCACCAAAAATTACTAGTACTCCTGAAAACAAGGAAATCATTCTTGAGTCTGGTTCATGGAATGTTCCTAAATTTATCGAAGTAGATATTTTTATGGTGCAAATATTAACGCACTTCAAATTATAACTTATACGCATCTTTTATACGTTAGCCAGCAACATTACGTAATTGGTCTGTCGTTTGGTTTGATCCATTCTTAAAGAAACCACAGGTTGACGATGCGATTAGAATTTTAATAGAAGTATTAACTGAAAAAGGATTGGTATGCATATCATTAATAACATTAATAAGTTGCACTTAATGTTTTTTTTTTTACTTTTGTAAAAAATTTTTATTTCATTTTTTAGAATGTACAAAGTCCTCAAATAGTTATTCAGGGCAATCCTCAAAATTGCAAAAATGTAAATATTATCATTCTTTTAAAATTTTATATTTATATTAATCATTAATATCATCATATTTGTATCTTGTAGGCTCTTACTTTAGCTGCACAAAGAGCAGACTCAGAAATAGTTCCACAGCTTATTGTTAGCATTATTTCAAGTAAAAATAATGAAGCTTCTGGGATTTACACTGAAATAAAGAAGATCTGCTTAGTTGACTTGGGCATTAATTCTCAGTGTTTTCGAAGTAAAATGATTGGAGAACGTCAGTGGAGGCAAAAATGGAGGCAAATTTGTCATAATATTGCATTGAAAATAAATGGAAAACTTGGTGGAACAAACTCCCAGTTAATCCCAAATCAACTTGATTTTAAAGATGCAAAACAAGTACATATCTTTATTAGTATATATTTATTTAAAATGTAAAAATTAACTAGAAATCTACGATATTCCTTTTGATATAGTACATGATTCTTGGTGCCGATGTTTTTCATCCTAGCAAAGAAGATAAACGAAAAGGTCGACCAAGTACTGCAGCCATAGTCGCGTCTATGGATCTATTTGCCACAAAATATGCTGGCCGATATAGTATGAACAAAAAGTTAAAAAATGAAGTTATTGAAGAAATTGATAGTATAGTTATAGATTTTATTAAAGTATTTGAGGAAAAAAATAGCAAATCCCTTCCGGAAGCAATTTTATTTTATCGAGACGGTGTTGCTGAAGGACAGTTTGAAATAATAATGGAGGATGAAGTTATTAAGTTATTAGATGCACTTAAAACTTTTTATCAATCCCGTGAGCTTCCACCTCCAAAATTAGCATTTATAATTATGCAAAAGCGACATCATACTAGGTAAATAATTGCACATTAATATATGCATTTTGATATATATATTTTTTTATTAACTTTTAGCTTATAAAATTATGTGTAGAGCTAAACCAAATGATGAATCCAAAGCTGATCCAAAAGGTAACGGTAACTGCCAACCTGGAACTATTATAGATAAAGATATTGTTGTTCCACAATACTTTACTTTCTGTGGGTATTTACTTTATAATTATTACTTCTATAAAATATTTATTCTTTAAATAACTTTGATTATATAATGCTATTTTTTATAGTTTTGCAATCTCATTCTAGTCCACGTGGGACTGCTAGACCCGCGTATTACCATGTTATCTATGATGAAATAGGGTTTTCTCAGGATAAAATACAAGCCCTTACTTATAATTTATGTTTTTCATCCGTAAGGTGCTTATTACAAATAAATTTGAATATTATAAAGTTTATAAATTAAAAACTATTTTTTTATTTTAAGGTGTAATCTCGCTTTATCAATGGTGACACCATTGCACTATGCTCATAACCTTGCAAATCTGGCAAAAAACTTTGTTACATATGATGAATTTCCTGTTACGGCTACAGATCGGCCAGAATATGTTCAGAACGGAAACGTAAACTATGTCCGTGAGGACATTAAGAATACGATGTACTTTGCTTAAAGTAAGATTCTATAAAATTTTACTCAAAAGAAAATAATAGTTTTTTCTTTCATCTTTCTTTATGAATTATCTATATTATGCGATATTATTATCATTTTTGAAATATTAACTACTATTTTATGCTTAAATAAAATTCGAATATTTTTAGCGTTACATTCAATTTGTTCTATGTTTAAATAGCTTTTTTAACGTTGAATTAACAAGATCAAAGAACGCGTTTCAATTTTGATTAAATAAATTTAACAGACAACTCGGACTTAATTTGATGGATTAAATTGATTTGTAACTCTATTTGCTTGTTAAAAACTGTTTTTTTTTTTTTACATGAAAGGAGATTATTACCAAATAATTAAAAAGCTTTGAAATAATGTGGCTATCTTGTTAGGTGAAACACTTATGTAAATGACAAAAGACAAATCTAAACCTAAACAAGATAAAAGACAAACTCTTGAAGAAATGGCAAACTGCAAAACGATATTACTGTAATATCCCCAAATCAGTTGCGTACTGTATATAAATTTAAAATTTTGAAAATTAATAATCAATGAATAGATTAAAATGCAATCAGATTAAAATGATGTATGGGATCTTTGCTAGGAAAATCACCCTTCGGAATTTTCCGATTGGGCTAATTCGGAAAAGCTTAGACTAGGATGTCTGTTGTAAATCACCTTTTGCTTTATTGATTCGATAGTTTATTAAATAAACTGTCGAATCAAAAAATGATTTACATATGAATAAGAACCGACATTCTGGTTTAAACTTTTTCGAATTATCCCGATCGGAAAATCCCGAAGGGTGATTAGATCCAATATGACAAGCCACAGAAAGTACAAAGTATCAATATAACCAAAGTGATGTGTAGTTACTTAGGATTCAATCTTATGTACTTTGTCCAAATTTCACAATCGCGTTAGTCAGAGGGTATTTTCGTACTTTTGTAGTGTTACGCGTGAAAATTGGTTTGCCGAGAATACCCTAACCCAACCAAACAAACCAACACGACCAAGACAACTTATCGAAAGAGACGTTTAGATTTGGACGGTGGAATGGCTCTAAATAGGGTGCGGGACGGGCCGGGCCCGCTTAGATCTGAAACTCAGCTCGAAAAAACAGGGGAGACCGTCCCAAATGAGGTAACCAAATGTTACACAAACTCTCATATCTTGCATATTTTCAAAGCCAATCAAATTAGCGAACTGCGACGCTATTCACGCCTGTGGCTTGATCGCTATTAGTGTAAGAAACGTAAACATTGAATAAAAATGTAACAATCGATTGTAAATTAGAAATTATCTAAATTTAATAAATTTAATTTTCTTTGTACGAACGAAATTGCTTATCGTTATAACAAACTACTATGATGTCAAGTAAAAAATTGCGAATTGGCATCATGACATTTACTAATATAGGTGTTCGTTCGGCTTTAGAGAGCTACTTTGTTGAAACTTTGCCTTATGAATAATTGTACGAAAAATAATCCTATAATCGCGATTTTGCTATCGTTATAAGCCTGTGATCCGTTATTTCCAGTCATCAATAGATTTGGACCCTTATATGTAATTTAAGAATTAGGCCCTTAAATGTAATTATTTTTAATGTGGGCCCGTATTTGTAATTATTTTCGTTTTCCGGGCCCTTATTTGTAAATTCCCCTTTAATTATATATTTGCATTATTAATATAAAAATTTAATAGTTTTTAACTATATCGCAATATTACAGTAATTTAATATTTTATTAAAATTTAATAAAAAATTACAACTGAGAAAATATTTTTTTTGCATTTTTAAATAAATTTGCCGTTATTGTCACATCATCTGCTACTGCTTCAACATCTGAATCATCCTCAACCGTGCCTTCACTATCTTCATTGATGAACTCATTTTCACCCAATTTGTTCATGATACTTGCCTTAATTGCTTCAATGTTTTTTTTTTACTTTGCCCTGAAGATGTTCTAAACAAATCAAGCATTTAAATTTACATCTTTGTAAGCAATGGCTATGGTAGCCATGCCCACATGAAAGAACATTACCATCATTAGTGACGTTAGTATAGTTAGTACAAATATCACATAAAACAGTTGTAAATAGCTTTTTAGAAGTAATGAAACCTCTTGGGAGATGGTGATCAGTTATTTTGTAACCTAAAGAATGTAAGTTGTAAGTATTAATGCCATCAGATGAATCAATAATTAAATAATACAAGTGACGAGCTTGATATATTTTTCCAAAGCTATCTAAAAACAATATAGCACACTTTTGAGAAAATGTGTGCAGTTGCTTTGGTGTATATAGATATTTTACAGAATTTACAAAATGCCAATTAAAATTATTATCATCTCAATGCTAAAAAATAAAGCATGCCTCCTTTTGCAATTGATCTGCTGCGAAAAATTTAGGAGTATAGTGCCGAATGATGCTGTAAGCAACTTCTATAGGAGAATTGCTTAAAGAAGCAAGATGAGTAGTAACTATATCAATTATTGGATGATTAATCTCCATCTAATAAAAGATATCTAAAAAGAATATTAAAAGAGCACACTTATAGTTTTTTTGATCGAATCAGAAAAAAAAATCAGTCTAGCAACATATACATGATTCTTTATAAGCTGGCTAGTTACCTTCCTAGTAGTGTATAGCATAAACATTGAGAGCTAGAAGAATTAAATTGCTCAAAAGATTAGTTAAATATAAAAATTCTATATTTTTACAAGTATAACCAAATTTAAAATAAATAATATTAATTATATTGAACTATACTATATGCATTATATAGAAAATTAAATCAATTTGCTATGGCTATAGCTTCTTACCAAGATTTTTTCTTTTTCTGAATATGCTCTTGTAGATATCATTAAAAAAAAATGAATATTATTTAAAAACAAGTTCACAACTATTTAAAAATACATGAAGAGGACCTATTATAGGCAAAAATAATGTAACAAATAGTGAAATATTTTTGTTATCAAGATGAATCTAGTGTGTGATAGCTTTGCAGATGAAAAACTGGCCAGGCCAATCTGCAATAACAGAAATCACATAGCTTTCAAGATATTTTTGCATAGCTTCTTAATTATATACTATTCAAAAAGCTCTTATATAATCTTTAATATTCTTCAATTTGCCTCTAACAAAATTAACAAAGATAGCATTTTGTATATATCGATCAGTTTTTTTTTCTACCAACTTGTAATTATAGCTATATAATGTTAGTCTCTCTATAAGTTTATCCTCAGAACACTCACCTAAATAATCACATCTATATTCATAATAAGGAATACTAAGATTAATAATGAACTATTCATTAAGATGTCTTGTGATTAGGTCATAATTAATGACTTTTGGATTGTATACCCTATTACAAGGTATTGATAATATGGAATATAAATTTGCTAGAATTGTTGCTATATGAGTCAGAATAGGTGTGTTAGTAGAATCAGACTGCTGTAGTATATGAATATTGTAATAATCATCAATATTTAGTACAAACACTTTTTCTGAATATTTTAAAATAGCACTTTCTACATATTTCTCATGAGTATCTGAAACTTGCTTTTTCTTTTGATTAACTGCTCTTGTAGTTGTAGTTACACTGAAATTTGCTATTGTATTTAAGCCTTCATTGGTTGTATCTACAGAATCGAGATAATATGCTATATCAAACTTAAAGAAATTAATTTTAGTATTAATTAATAATACAAAAAGATAGTATATATACACTATCAATTTTTTATATGATTAAGGGTTTGATCATTGTGTTCAAATAGTATAGCTACCAAATAAAGTTGATCAAGAAAATTTTTTATACCCTTATTTGTTTGAAATACTTCTCATAGTTCATCATATGAATAAATAAGACCTTCATTCTTTATATGTTTACTTTCATAAAAAATTCTTACCATGGCCTCAATAATCATGACAAAGTTGACCATACTTACCTTCTTGTTCACAATTTTCATATCTTCTAACATCTTTTCTTGTAACTTCTTCTATTCTAGTTACTTCAACTTCATCTTCTTCAACTAAAGCTTTTACTTGCTTGGCTCTTCTTTGTAGTAGATTCTCTACAAAATTTATATAACAAGTATGATATAATTTATCATCTTTCATCTATATTACTTTAGTTAAACCATTATTTTTTGCTTCTTCCTACTTTTTGTTTTTCAAAGAGTAGAATTTAGTTGGTCCAGTTGTTTTGCTATTCATACAACACTTAGAAATAGATATTTTTTTAATGGGCAAATATATTATGAAGGTTGAGGAATTCAGAGGAATTCAACTAATATTCTTATAGTATAGCACAAAAACTTCAAGTTTTACTTAATATGCTTTGTGGGTTCACAGAAAAGATAATCTACCTAAATTTCTAAAAGAAATATTGTAAAATATATAAAAAAAATTTGCCTCTGCTTACCATCTTTAAAGTTTGTTTAATCTCAGGAGAAAGCCAAGATTCTCTATCTTGTTTTTGCTGCTTTTGTTTTTGATCAAGATTAAATCTATTGAATCATTTATATAATAATCTACAAACTCAGAGCATACTCAGAAAAGTCCTACCTGTTGCTCAAAAATTATTTGTAAGCACAAGCCCAGCTTATAAAAAAAAAAGTTTGTAAAATAAATTTGGCTTGGCCTTATTTAAAATTATATAGGAAATGGTTTAGATAAACCTGCTTTCAGCACTTTTTAGTTAATTTTAAGATTTTTGATTCAAATTAAAGTTTTAGTTTTTTTTATATGAATTACATTTTTTTTTTTTTTTTTGGTATTAAGGTGAGGTCTTGCTCATATCTTTATTGATTAATTTATATAAGAAATTACATAGTTATAAAAGCTTAATTTGTACAAAAACAAATAAATATAAATTATATACAAGAATAAGAGCTCAGACT